TTTGGGTTGATGTGAAAATACAATACACAGACATAAAGCAGAAAAATCAAAAATTTATGTTTCTATAGTTGTAAGTAGGAATATGCTTTAAATAAGTGAGAAACTAAATTGATAAATGGTGAAGGGTTTCTAATGTAGGGGTGTGGTTATATAGAATAAACTGATGTGAGAAATGCATTTGTAGGGAATTCTCACAGCCTGACAGAAGGCTCACACAGTGTGCATCTGTGTGCAAACCTTGAGATAAAAAATGCTGACTGAGAAATGCCATGGAATAGGACAGACATTGCTGAGAGAGAAATGGAACTAGGAACAAGTTTCAAAGGATGGCCTTGCAAATAAGACTGGATACTTTGGAGAAACAGAATTATGAAAGATGCATTTTAGATTGGCTTTGAGGCATTTACAGCATGGTGTGACAAAAGCTGATAGGCCAAGAAACACTTATAATGCAATTAGAAAATAGTTGGCTTCTGATTGCAATGGCATGAATTATAACATCTGTATTGTCTCACTCTTCTCATGAGACTGAAAGTGGAATAAAAGTTTTTAAAACACTTCTGGGTTGGCCCATCTCTGAGTCAGAAAAGAGCTTAATCCAACAAAGTGGTGCCCCATGTGAGGATCAAACTGACCTTCAGAGTTTAGAAGTTGTAACAGGAGCAGATGGGTGCATGTGAGACAGAAACCTACTGGGTAAAAATACCCACAGTGCAGTAGAAGTGAGTCAAGGTGATAGGTTAGAAAAGCAAAATAAACCTTGTGCCATCTATTCCTTGGGTTAGACAGTTCTGTATTGCCTTGTAACAAAGAATTTGTGACTACTTTGAGCTGTGACCAGCTGCCTGCTCCTTTAAAATCTCACTGTCTCTGAGAGTGATGTTTATCTGAACAATAAATAGTTCTTAGCCCCAAAATAGTCCCATCCCTTCATTACTAGGGGTGACAATGATACCCCGGGCCTCTAGCCACATTATTGTAATTGCATTTAGGAAAGGCTACAGAAAGGTCAGGAGAAACAAAGGGAATTAGCAAACCAAAGGAGAATCACTTGGGAGCCATATTCTCCTAGCCTCTGGAAGCTCTTTCCTGGTCCTTCCACACAGCTCTCCAGCTTTGGATCTGCTTTCCAAACAGCTGAAGCTTCTGGAAAGTGGCATCACCTTTCAGATGGTCTGAGCTGTGCCCAGTTGTTACTGGGAAGTTGTTACTGGGACCTGAGAGGATGCATTCCCTGCCTCCTAAAGCTTCTCTGTAATACAGAAACTCGAGGGAAGAAAAGGACAGCACTCAGGCAAGTCTGCAAGGTTTCAATAACATAATAGCCTGAAAATCATCAAATTGTCCTTTGCTTCATGTTTCAGCTGCAAAAACCAAAAGATGTATTTTTCTTCCTGAAAAAAAATCTGAAAATTCCTCACTTATGACAGTATTATCATTGTGATATATATCAAATCCAGATAGCTCCTTTCCTTCCCATCACAGTCCCTCCCACAGAGTCTGCAATCAAAACATTTTGGTTATCTTGGCCTATGTACTATTTGGAAACAGATTTATAGGAGCAGGATTGTGCTGTTGTTCCAATGAATGTTCCTAAGTCAAAATAGTTTGATATTAAATACAGATTACTGCACCCCAGCACCAACCACGGGGTAGATGCTGTGCATACAACAGGGATAGCTCAGAAAATTGAGGGGTTTTTGACTCCCAATCTGACCTGAGTGGTTCATCCTGACTGAATACATGGCTTCCATGGTGTTTCTGCTGGTTTTCTGTCTGTAGGATGAGGTCTGTAGGATGCTCATGTTTGGATCTGCTTTCCCTGGACACTCTCTCAGCTCAGCAGTGGGGAGACCCAACTCCCTAACCCTGGGACAGTGGGACAATGGGACAGCTGGGAACATGTGCTGCAGGCCCAGGAGCCACTGACCAAGCTGGGTACCCCAAAGAAAGGCTGAGAAAACAAGAGTTTCTCTGGGGGAGGACAAGGCCTGGCTGGAGCAGCCCTGTTTGCTCTGACCTGTGCTCCTGGCCTGGGCAACTCCAGGGAACACCACTGGGGCTGGTGATCCAGATGTGAGGCAAGCCAGACCCCAGCCAGGGTGAGTGCAGCTGCCTACACTGCAATCAAGCTCCCAAGTGCAGGGGAGACACGGCAGACACTTCAAAAAGACTCTATTTATATTCTGCCCTTCTGGTAAATTCATTCGTGGGACCACTCATGCAAAATGCATCATGCAAATGAAACTGCTACATTTGGAATTAAGCTGATTTTCGTACTCCAGTGAACACAAGTGCCTTAGATTGTTTTTCTTGCCTTTTGCCTTCCTTTTCTCTTCAGGTTGTTTGCCCAGCTGTATCCCCAGAGCACCTCTCAGGGACGTGGGGAGGATGGCAGAGGCTGCTGGGACTTGCAGCCCCAGCTCTGGAGCCCACAGACTCCTGAGCAGCGCTGATGTGGAACTGATGAGTGCCTGGCTGCTTTACAGCACTGCAGCCCTGGAGAAGGCTGCTCCTGCCCACTGCAGCCTCGGAGATAAATTCATGCAGAGCATGGACAATTGCAGGGGAACGAAGGGAGAGGCTGCTGGCAGCTCGGGAAGGGCCCCTTATCCCTGCCCACAAGGAGCTGAGTGAGGAGGGCACTGTGTGTGAGTGAGGAGGGCACCTCCACGGGAAGGGACTGCCCCAGCTCTGTGCCCTCACACAATGCCATGGTGATCCCTCTCTGGCCATACACCTCTGCCCTGCACACGCTCCCCCAGGGCACACACTCCTCTCCAGAGGCCCAGCACACCCTGCTCACGTCTCCTTACAGCTGATCTGCTCAGAAGCAAAGAGCTAAAGAGACACTGCCAGCTGATGAGGCATGGAATAGGATGGGGGACCACAGAGACCAGACCTGCAGCATCCCCTCCCCCAAGTCCTCCTCCTTCTTTAGCTGTGCACAGCAACCTCTTGCAAACCCAGAGTAAGCCTGGTCCTGCATTGCTCTGCCCAGATCAGCACTGATGGCTGCAGGGAGGAATGATGAATGTGGCCTTTCAGACAGGGATCATCTGTAGGCACTTCAGAGGAAGAGAGCTGCCAGCGTGGCTGCAGGGAGCACAACTCCCACGCAAGCAAGAAGCAGCACTCCCCTCCCCTGACTCCCCTCTGCTTTGTGGCAGGCACTGCACCAGTGACAGGGGATCACCCCTTCCCCCCTGCCTCCCTCCCTGGTGTGGAAGCTGGAGAAGCTCCCAGTGCCAAACTCTGTCCAGGAACTGCAGCCTGGGCCGAGCCCTGTTTGACACAGCTGGTGGTGTTTGCTCTTAGGGCTCTGCAGTGCACAGTCTGCATTGCAGTTCCAAACTGCAACCAGCACCATCCCTGCCCTGCCCTGCCAACACTGCCCCACCCTGGGGAGCCTGTGCCCCAGAGGGCACCCAGCAGTGCTGTGCCAGGGCCCAGGACAGCAGCACGGGAACAGCATCCCTGGAATGGCATTGGGAGACAGAAGCTAGGAATGGCTGCTTGGTCAAGCTACAATAAGTGAGAGAGGGAGAAACACTGATCTGCTTCTGTCTTGTCATTTTCAAAATAAATTCAGTACAAAACAGCAAATATACTTCAGTCCTCTTCAAGCACCTCCTGAAAGGAAAGTCAAGGAGCAGAGGGAAACAAGCAGGGAGCTGTGCACTGCTGTGGGTGCCTGTGAATGTGTGGAGAGCCTGAGCCACAACCTCGCCTTTGCTGAGCCACTCGGATTAGAGGAGAGGGAAGCAAAGCAACCACAGGACAGGCCAACACACCTGGAGAGACATCAGTGCCCTGCTCAGCCCCTGACTCACTGAGGCACCCCAGATGGACATTTGTGCTTTGTTCATCTCTCCGTGCACTCCTGCCTGCACCACAAAGTGAATGAATATGAATTATAAATCTCAGGGCTGGGGCTGCCTCTCCCCAGCAGCTGCCCAGCACCTTGCCCATTGTCATCCCAGAGCTCAATGAGGCTCTGCTCTGCTCTAAGTGAAGACCTCACAAATGGTAACACCACAAGGATAAAGCCTGAGATTTGTGAAGCATGCCCCAGTGCTCTCCCTGTGAGTGTGGGCTGCTTGGAGGAGGGAAGGGCTCAGCTCTATCATGAATTAGTGTTGTGACAGCTCGCTGCAATTGAGCCATGACTTGCATGGCTGCTTCTCCTTCACATTCCCAGGAGCATGCCCTGCATTAGATCATGCTCTGCAGCAGGCTCTGCTCCAAAGCACAACACAAAATATGGAGACAAAGATGAAATTGCCCTGATCAGCTTTCCTTGTCTGAAAATATGCTCCTGACATGTGGAGAGAGATGCAGGGAGCTTTCTCTCTGCTTTGGAGAGCACGGAGACAGGAGAAAAACAACTGATTTTCAAGCTACTTGCAAGGTTGTGGCTTCACCCACATTATTCCTGACAACTCACCCTGCATCCTGGAATTCCCCCTGGGAGCAGCACAGGGTCCCAGGCTTGTGGGGATCTTGCTTTTCACCAGACCTTTGTCTGCAGATTGCTGCTCCTTCCTTTTTCCCTTAGCATAGTGTCAGAGAATATAGAGAGCAAGAGGGTTCTAACACATGCCCATGCTTATCTCTTCATTCAAGAGATAAGCACAGAGAAGCAGCACATGGCAAACAGATGCCACAGGTTCTGCAAATCAGCTGTCTCCAGCCCTTTCCTCAGAGCTGCTCCTGGACCTTTGGGGGCTCTGAGAGGGCAAGCCCTCGCTGTCTGGCTGATTGCTCTGCTCACCAGCTACACAGCTCCTGCAAGGGGCCACCTGTGCCCACCCTCCTGCAGCATCTCCACAGATCACGTGGATGCCGATCCCAGAGCCCGCAGCACCAACAACCTGCAGAATTCCCTCAGGAACCCGCTCCAACACAGCATCAGGCCCTGACACAAGGGGCAGGAAGGAGAAGGGGCATTGAAGGAAATGGGAGAGCAGAGCTGGCAGGCAGAGCCGGGGCTGTCTCACCTCCTCCCACTGGTGGATGTAGCGGATGAGGCGCGAGAGGCGCAGCAGGCGCAGCAGGCTGAGGATCTTGGTGAAGCGCACGATGCGCAGGGCCCGCGCCGTCTTGTACACCTCGGAGTCGATGCGCGTCTCCACGATCAGGAAGATGTAGTCCACGGGGATGGAGGAGATAAAATCCACCACAAACCAGCTCTTCAGGTACTTCATCTTGATCCTCTGCGGGTCCAGGATGATCTCGGTGTTGTCCTCCACCACGATGCCTGTCCGGAAGTTGAGGACAAGGTCGATGAGGAAGAACGTGTCCGAAACCACGTTGAAGACAATCCACGGGGTGGTGTTTTCATCTTTGAAGAAAGTGATGCCCACAGGGATGATGATCAGGTTCCCTACCATCAGCAGCAGCATGGTCAGATCCCAGTAAAACCTGGACAGCAAGACAGAGACATGTGAGATCAGCCACAGGGCAGGAGGTCGGGGAGCCCGGGTCAGCTGCACTGAAGAACTCATCCGTCTCTGCTGTCAGTCATCCCCTGGGCTCTGCTGCTCCGCCTGAGCACACACACCGCACAAGCTGCTAACTGACTAATTAATATCAGAGGAACCCTCCCGCTCTGCCTTCGAGGGCTCACAAAGGAGCTGAGCCAGGGCTGGGCACGCCTGCTTGAACACCTTCCTGGGACCTAGGAGCTGCCTGGGGAGAGACTGAAAAACCTGTGGTTACTACAGGGACTGCTGGGTAAGGAGGGAAGGAGGACTGGGGAGGCCTCAGAGTCTGTGTGTCAATAAAGTCTCGTGGGGTTAAACCATCAGGCTGTGCTCCTGCTGTCTGATCCTTCTTTAGAAGCAGCCAGCACTGACAGTTCTGGGATCAGGATGGAACTGGAGCCTGTGCTCTCATCTCCAGCCCTCAGTTCAGATTCCTGCTGAGCTGGACTCCAGGAGTTTAGCCCACGCTCTACAGGCTCCCGTGTTGTACAGAAACAATCAATAAAGCCCAGAGTCACGTGCCTGGAGATACCCATTCCATTTCTAAGGACAGTAACACCAACATTTAACTCCTGTTCCGTGAAGCACAGTCTCCAGGAAGCTTATCTTCACTCCAGTGGTAGCTCAGTGTTACCCAGTGGCCCTTAATGTAACACTCCGTTTTGCTTGGAAGGCACACAGTCTGAGTAGAACCCCTAATTTATATGATTGGGATTTTTTAAAGATTTCCCACAGATGCAGGAGGACTGCAGAGTGGGGACTAAAACCCCTCCCAGTGTCAGAGCTTGCTGAGGTGCCTCGCTGCCCAGCACAGTGGTGCTCCAGTGCTCTCCTCATGTGTCACATGTAGATGCTGATGCACTGTGGGCTCACACTGCCAAGATTCCAGCAGCCCCACACTGTGCACTATGGGTCAGCTACTCTAATATCATTAGTTATTAATACAATGATCACCCCGTTGTCACAGGAGATGAGCAATCCCTCAGCAGCAGTGAGAGCACCAGTGGGACCCTGCACTGACACTGATTTATCAGAGGGAAGTGTTGGGCTGCTGAAGGACGTGCACATGCTGCTCCTCTCTCTAACCCTCTACAGCCAAAATCCCTGAAATGTTTCAGAGGAGCTGGACTTGCTCTAAAGGCCCTCAAGCTCTACCTTGGTTAGTGACTGTTTGGCTGGAACCTGGGCCAGGCTGAGCTGCTGCAGAACAGGATTTTCAGAGCAAGGCAACTACATGGTTTGTTAAACTCTCAGCAGGGAAACCAAAAGGGCAGAATATACCTTAAAAGCCTTCTCTATCTAGAGCCTCTCTCCCTGGTAAGAACACTTTAAAGCACCTAAAAGCATCTTTAAGATTCCAACCCTTGGCCTTGTACAGGCAGGGTCAGCAGCCAGCAGCACCCCAGCAATTCTCACAATCATTCAGCAGAGGCTGATGGGAACTGATTTTAGAATAAGCAAAGTTACTCACTAATGAGCTTCCTAAAAACGACCTCCGCTCTCTCCTGGCTCTCAAGGTACCAGCAATCCCCCCCTCAGTCTGCAGGTACAGGGCTGCTGGCAGCACTCAGCAGTGGGATTTGTCCATCTGCCTCCAAGAGCAAGGCTGTGGCACCCAGCAAGAGGCATTAATATAAATCCGTGTTGTGAGCTTCCTTAATAAGGGCCCGAGATGATGCTGCAGCTTTCCCAGGCAATTAATCTGGATAATCGCACAATAGCAGGAAGTCTGGAAGCAGTGTGTGCATTATTACTGAAAATAAATAACCTCCCAGCCATCCTTCATTTCCCTTAGGGAATACACAAGGAGATAGGCTCAAAGAAATGAGTTTTCCCAAGTTTCAAATTAATGGCGTGAGCCTGGCACAGCCAGGTTTGCAGTGCTGGGAAGGCAAGTGCCTTTCTTCTCATATCTTTGCATTTTTGTGCCTCTTTTTTAAGTTGGGTGGTGATTTTGGGGACAGGGCCAGCAGTGGCAGGATGGCTCCCAGCCCAAGGAAGGTGTTTTGCACACACCCAAGGCCAGTGAAACCTTTCCCCTGACTGCAGCACCCCTGCTAGCCTAGCCTCTCCCTGCCCAGTGTGCTCAGCTGTCCTGCATCCTCACTTGCAGCAGTTCCTGAGTTCCTGCAGCTCTTCCCTCCCAGCCTGCTGCTCCTGAGCTGCCCTGGAGCAGCAGGGTGTGCAGTGTGGGCAGGGCAGTCAGGTGCTGAGCCCCACTGCCACGTGTCCCTCGGAGCACAGCTCTCCTCAGGGCTGCACTGCTGACTCCACATTATCGACAGGGCCCCTCAGCTCTGACCTTTAAAGCCACCACTTCAAACCAGGGAAGGGAAACTTCTGTATCCAGTGATCCCTTTAATAAAGCTGTCAGGGAGAAGACAACCTTGGGGCTCTATGAAGGAGGCAGAAAAAGCTGGAGCACACCAAGAATTTGGCCTGCACACCAACTCCAGCACCTGCCTTTCCAACGAGAACTGCCTGGGAGTTAAAATTCCCCTGTTAAGATTTGCAGAGCTCCTGCACATTTTCATTTCACCCACATGGGAAGCAGGATCTGTTCAGGGTGGCATCAGTGCATTTAGACTTAATTAGACTCTCTGGGCCCGCAACACCTCAGAGGTCTGATACCATCCAAGTGTCATTTTGCATTTGCTCCCAGGAACATCTTTCCCCTCCCTGTAAATTACTGGCCACAATGACTAACGGTGCATGTGATGTATGTAAGGGCAAGCACCAGCTATTAATAACCCATGTTTTCTGAATTTCTGTTGTTCCTTTCACCCAGGGATTCCACGGAGCTGACAGTGATGAAATTGGCTTCGCTGCACCCAAGAGAGGCAGAGTTATTATCCCTGCCTTGCACACAGAGGAGCCACGTGGCAAAGTGAAGAGCATGGGGTTTGTCCACGGAAGGCTGAGGCCAAGCAAGGGCTAGAACCTGAATCTGATTTTTGAGTCTAAGCAGATCTGAAGCCATTCATATGGCTTGCAAAAGAGCCTAACAGAGATGCATCTCTGGGATGTCTGATATCCTGTCTTCTTCTCACTTCTCTTCCTGTTTCCAAAAGCCTACATAAAAAATTAATAAATATGAATGTATTGTTTTATTACAGTTGACTCAGTGCAACTGAACAGCTCAGAGCACAGGGAACAGGCAGCACTATATAAGCCAGATGTCTTGTTCAAACACCTTTGGTTTTTATACTCCATCCTACTCTCTGCATACTCCTTGGATCTGAAAATTTTAACATGCACCACTACCTCGGATCTCTTAATTCCTAATACATTATTTAAACAGAACATATCTGAGAATTATTGTGGCACAGACACTTCAGGAATATGTGCTCCTTAAGCACTGCTGTGTCACTCAGCTGATGTGACAGCCTGTACACTCTGTAGGTATTGGTTTGTGGGTTTGGAATGCTGGACCATCTTTCTGCTCTGCCTAGAGCACACTGACAGCAGGCTGGGAATATTGCTTTTGGAAGTAATTTTTTACAATCAAATGAAATTTCCTTTTTCATTCCGTAGTGCAGTGTGGGCAATTCTAGAGCATGAGCTCAGGAGTGAGGAATTGGAGAGAAAGCAGTGAATCCCAGAGGTGAGAGGCTCAGCAGCATCACTGGGTCACAGCAGCACTGAAACTCTGTGCATTTGTGGCTTCTGAACTTCTGTTCTGGCTCCACAGTGCTTCCACAGTCCAGAGAAAATGGACTTGAGTGGCCTCACCTCCAAATTAACAAAGCTTTTTGGGGTTTTCAGCTCCTGCTGAAGGGCAGCCAGCTCTGGGCTGAAGCACAAACAGTAATGCATCTGCCTGGCAGTGCCAGGGGCCAGGAGATTCTCCCCAGCAGTGGAACTGAGCTCCCAGCCCGTGGCCAGCCCTGCTGACCTCCCAAGAACAGCTCTTTAATGAGCACAGCTTGTTCGAACCGAGCCCAAAGGCAAGCCCAGCTCAGTCCCAAGGCTCGGTGCTGACTCCAGAAACAGAGTGCCACCTACTGAGCCCCACCAGGAATCTCCATCCCCTGCCTGGTGGGGAGGAAATGCTCCCAAATCCCTTCTGAGCTGCTGGAAACCTGTGCTTCTCTGTGGAGCGGCCGCTGCCTTTCCTGCCTCTGGACTGCATGCTGATCAGGTGGCCTGGCAGGAAAGAGGTCGTGCTGCATTCCCAGGAATGCTGTGGGGCTGGAAACAGAAATCACCTTTTGGAGAGAGCATTAGGGGAGCTCAGGGTAGCTGGAGCCACAGTGGGAGCAAAGTTTACTCCAGGAACAGCCACTCACAGACAGCTGAACAGAGACAGCAAAGGAGAAAAAAGCATGAGGAGATCCTTCCCTGCCTCTGGAAGCATCACTTCTCCCAGACAGGAGCAGGCTGCTTCTACTGGAGAGTTACAGACTTGCTCTGCCCTAGAGATAAAGGATGGAACATGGTGATTCACTGCTCCTGAACACACTAAAGGACATTTAACCAGCTCTGAGTCCAGCAATTCCCTTGTGGGAGGAATTAATTTATTTATAGAGAGTTTACTCAAAGACCTGTGCACTTGGAAACTTCTTTGCCATGAATACTCACCAGAAAAAGAGTCAAATGAGTTACAAAAATATTCTGAGTGCTGTGTAATGGGAAAGGACCCAGCTAAAGGAAAAGACAAACAGTTTTAATTCCTTCTGACCGATCTATGCAAATACTCTGCCATCCTGACTAAAGCCCCTGGGAGCACTGCTAATTAACCATGCATTCTGACAGCACAGGACAGCCTGCTGGGTCCCAGCCTCCTCCAGATTTCCCTGGATGCCTCCTTCTCCTGGATGCCTGCATCTTCTGGATGCCTGCTTCTCCTGGATGCCTCCTTCTCTTGGTTGCCTGCATCTCCTGGATCTCTGCATCTCCTGAATGCCTGCATCTTCTGGATGCCTGCTTCTCCTGGAT